TGAGATGCAGATACATACCTGCTGTACCTGTGTGTGCCCAAATATAAACACATGTATGTTGAAATTCATAGATATATGCACGTATGCATACACGTACAACCAGACTATCATGCTATGATGTATTCATGAATATTTTTGTCTCTCTCTATATATAATTGCTCATGTTTTTCGTTTCCATAGCTTATGCATGTATATTTTATATACGTATGTATGAAGCAGTTGTTGTGCATATGCAAAAAAATACATGGAAGCACAAGTTGAAATAAGGTTTGATATGTTTTAATCTCCATTTAATGCTTTGTCTTGGACAAGAGGCCCCAGTGAGGCACTGATCACCTGATGTAATTCAACTGTGTTCTTGGTATGACATCAAACCAGTCACAGTCACACAGTGGTGGGCTAAATGAATCACCTATATTGCTATAAATAAGGGATGGGATGATAAAGGAGCAGACCTTGCAAAGTGTGATGGGGATAAGGAGTATAGGCAGCTCTTTAACCAGATTTATGCATTGTATTTTTTATGGCTTTAATGCAGATAAAAGTTGCTGCCTCTTCTCCTGGAGTTCCTTTAACTACTTCCTATAGCTCAGCTATAACTCACTCCCACTCACTCCATAGTTAGATGTGAGAAGGCCTACAGGGAAAGACCTTTGCTTCAGAGGGCTTCATAAATTCTGTCAAAGGACAATAATCTTCTCTGAGGCTAATTTAGCCTTTGTTTTCCTTTAAAAACACAAAATTTCCCACACAAATACATGTCAGAATTGAAGTTAAGTGTGGCCATGTCCCATCTACTACGTCACTGAGCACTTATCAAAGCAGAATTATTGCTGCCAGCAGCTCTCAGGTATGTGCCTTTTGCAAAATCTCATGCCCGCAGGTGCATGCCTTTTTGTAAAATCTACCTGCAGGCTTCTTCCCTCAACCCTTTCTTGCCTAAGCTTGAGTTTGCAACCTGCTCTTCAAGATGATGTTCAAGAATGTAATTCAAGTTTGCACTAAGTGCTTTTCACTGCTGGTTCTCTTGAGTTGTAGCAGTTGCATGATGCTGGGCCCAGAACATGACAGCCGATCAGATAGCTGGTCTAAGATGACTTTCCACTTATCTGATTATTTAGCTACCTGGAAATGATAATGGCTTCCCAGTACAGCTTGCAGCAAATCTAAAGCTACTCTAGATCACATCAAGAGCAGTTTTACTTCCTAAATGGGGTTATGACTCAGTCTTTTTGGATTTTGATAAGACTGATGACACTGCCTTTGTCATCACTGCCTTTCCTCTGCCTCACTTGTCTGCCAGATGTTGTCTTTCACAGAGACAACTAAGATGCCTGTTCATTCTACTGCTTCATAGCCTCAAGTCAGTGTGGTTTAGTTTCCCAGATAGGGCTACCAGGCTGTGGCATCCGAATATCTAATCTTTATTTGCTTCTGCTGTCTCAGAGAGCTAATCTTCAGCAGGGACAACTGGTCATGGTGCAGATTCAGCTGTTGCAGTTAAATGGAAACCAGATGGGAGGTAGTGAGAACATAGATATGTTTTGCATGCCCATCAGTAGCCATAATCTGCCTCTAAGTTACATTTCCTTGGTGATTGGTGGAGGAAAACAGTCGCTTTTAGAGCAAAGTCACGTTATCATAAAACACACATGTAGAATAGGCTGTATTAATCATATGTCTTTACTATCAGCGATGTCAGAAAGATTAGGTGGGATGTAAACATCAAAAAACACGTGAACTGACTCCCCAATAAGTTGGAATCTCAAGACTTTTACTTGGTTACAGCAGTTGAGTGCTGACCACCAGAAATATTTTTATTTACAATAGTTCAGCCTGGTTAGACTGTAAATTTCTGTCCCAGGTGCTTTGAAATTCTCCAAGGAACATTTTGCACTAGTTAGTTTCCAGAAGCATTAAGGAAAAATCTCTATATGATGTGCATGTGTGGATATGTCTACATTTACATATATGTTTAAATACATCTATTTGGGACATCCAAAAAAGTAAATTAAAATAAAAATGTATCATAAATGAACTAACACCAGTTACTTTCCATAGAGCAAATCTGTTCTCCATGTCTACTTTAATCCATGTTTTGCCATTAAATCCACTTCTCTGCACCTGAGTCTACTCACTACATCAAAGCTAACCTCCTGAAAGTACCTATTTCACAGTAATTTACCTATTAATTGGCATTTTCCTCCCCTGCTCCCTCTATCCCAGCCCTCTTACTGTCTTTCTGGAACGATTTATCAGGAATGGTGAAAAGTCCCATGTCACCTTGCAGTGTAGAGTAACTGGAAAGTGTGAATGGTGTTTGGAAGGACTTGTGGTCTGATTTATGTCATGCCAAAAATAAGCACTTCAGCTCAGGCTCAGCCTTGTTAGCAAATTTCTTCATCCACAGCATAGCAGTCACTGCTGCCAAATTATGCAGACTCAGCAGGACTAGTTTTTCCTCAAATCCTAATGCTTTTTTTTTTTTTTTTTTTTTTACTTTCTCTTGATTTACATCTGTTTAAGGGTGGGGGAATGAGATCTAATGACCACCAGCAAGGCTGCTTTTGATTTGTGGTGCTGAGTAATCATCCAGCTTACTATTCCAGGGAAAATCCACCTAAGCCATGCTAGATCCTAGAATACACTGGATATTAAAATGACTGACTTTGATTTCCTGCTTCTTTCAACCATGGCACAAGCAGATATAAAAGAAGGTTTAATATATATATATATTGTAAATGTTAAAAAACATCCTCATAGGAAGAACACAATGGCAATCCTAAGGAAGTGCCCTATATGGTCAAGAATGAAAAAGCGCCTGTGGCTTTGAATTATTATTTATTCTCTAAATCATCTGTCCCCACTCACTAAAATATTAGCAGTTCCATTGTTAACAAGCAGTGAGACTGCAGAGTCACTGGGGATGCTCAGGTGAAGCACGTGGATGTTGCAGACTGTGGAGAATACACAGCAATGAAAATGGGAAGGATCTTGACTTAAGTGCTTTGAAAATGCAGGAAGAGGAATCTGTGTAACAGGGGGAGAGCGATTCCACATCCAATTGCTCTGTCATTCCTACCACTTCTACTGCAATCTCAGTTGCAGGGGCAGTGAGTGGGAAAGCTATGATTACAGCTGGCCTGTCCTTGCTGTCTCCACTCACAAGGGAATTCCAGCATTTGGAAGTCTGTCTTTGTCCTGAATCACAATAAAGCAGTTTTTGTCCAAGAATTTTCCAGGGACACGAGATAATGATAAAAGATTCAGGTCAATCAAAGCATTTAATCAGTTTTAGATTATTTTGTTTTCTTCAAAACAGTAATTGTGTCAAATTAATGCATTTTGAAGTTAATTTGAAAAAAAACCCCAAAAACAAACCCCAAACAATTACAGTACAATACAATTAACTGTTGATTTTAAATTTTTTTTTCTGTTTATATATATGAAGTTACAACCTCATATAATTGCATTCAAAGAATCTACTTGATAGATTCATTCTGTGATAGAAAGAAGATGGGAGGGTGGAGGAATTTGAAACTAACTTCTAGTTTCAACTCCCCTGCATGGGCAGGGACACCTCCCACTGGGCCAGGTTGCTCCAAGTCCCCTCCAACCTGGCCTTGAACACTAGCAGGGATGGGGCTTTCAAGACCTCTCTGGGCAACTTGTTCCAGTGTCTCACCACCCTCAGACTAAAGAATTCCTTCCTAATGTCTGACATAAATCTACTCTCTTTCAGCATAAACCTATTACCCCTTGTTTCTCACTACACAACATTGTCAGAAGTCCCTCCCCAGCTCTCCTGTAGCCCCCTGCAGTTACTGGCAGGCTGCTATATGGTCTCTTCAGAGCCTTCTCTTCTCCAGGCTGAACATCCCCAACTCTCTCCTGATCACCTTTGTGGCCTCCTCTGGACTCACTCCAAAAGATCCATGTCCTTCCTGTGCTGAGGTCTCCAGAGCTGGACACAGTACTCCAGGTGGGATCTCACAAGTGTGGAGTAAAGGGGCAGAATCACCTCCATCGACCTGATGGCCAAGTTTCTTTTGATGCAGCCCAGGTTTGTTTTCTGGGCTGCAAGTGCATGTTGCTGGCTCATGTTGAGCTTTCCCTTGACCAACACCCCCAGGTCACTCTCTTCAAGGCTGCTTTCTATCCATTCACAGCCCAACCTGTATTTGTGCTTGGGATTGCTCCTACCCAGGTGCAGGACCCTGGACCTGGCCTGTTGAACTTCATGAGGTTGGCATGGGCCCACCTCTCAAGCCTGTCAAGGTCCCTCTGGATGGCATCCTCTCTCTCCAGCATGTCAACCACACCACACAGCTTGGTGTCATCAGCAAACTTGCTGAGGGTGCACACAATCCCAGTGTTCATGTCACTGACAAAGATGTTGAACAGCACTGGTCCCAGTACTGACCCCTGAGGGACATCACTCATCACTGGTTTCCATCTGGACACTGAGCCAATGATCACTGCAACCATCCAATTTCTTATCCATCAAGTGGTCCATCCATCAAATCCATATCCTTCCAAGTTGGATACCAGGATGCCATGTGGGGCAGTGACTTTGCACAGGTCCAGGTAGACGATGTCAGTTGCTCTTCCCTTGTCCACTGATGCTGTGACCCCATCATAAAATGCCAGCAAATTTGTCAGGCATGATTTGCTCTGGGTGAAGCAATGATGACTGTCACCAACCACCTCCACATTTTCCATGTGCTTTAACAGAGCCTTCAGAAGGATCTGCTCCATGACCCTGCTGGGCACAGAGGTGAGACTGACTGGCCTGCAGCTCCCTGGGTCTTCTTTCCTTTCCTTTTTCAAAATGGGGGTTCTCTTTCCCCTTTTCCAGTCAGTGGGAACTTCACCAGACTGCCATGACTTTTCAAACACGATGGAGAGCATTGCAACTTCACTTGCCAGCTCACTTAGTAGCTGCCGATGGATCTTCCCAGGTGTCACAGACTTGTGCGCTTTCAGGTGAAAAAAGGTGATGTTTCCGCCCGGTTTCGAACCGGGGACCTTTGTGCGTGTCAGGCAAATGTGATAACCACTACACTATGGAAACTGCTGCCAAGTAAGTTTTAGGTCATTTATTAAAAACACTGTAAAAGAAGAAGATTCATCCACTACTCAAGGATTACTTACAGGGCAGGTTTTTCCTCACTGGTTGTTCACCATCCTTTTAACCAAAATAAGGATGTGGCTGACAGAAATTACTGAAATGTTGATAGTGACTGGTAAACACTTTTATCTGTGGATTCTTCTTCATATTTCTAAAGTAATGGCCAAATGAAAAAAAATGTTGCTGCAAACTAAAGCCACATACTGAAAAGAGGCATGAGCAGCAAATGAAAAACACACACCAGATTTTTATCTCAGCTCAACAAGTTTTGCTTGGGCACAAGTCCATTGGCTGCTTCACCCAACCAAGTGAGACACTAATCAGGCTGACATACGTATGCATGTCAGATAAAAGTGCACAAGGTTATGTCCATATTAGTCATGCGATAACAGGACAGATACATGTTGGGGTGGAACAGTGTTAGCAAATTATCTCACAAAAGGACATTTGTCTTCCCTGGGACATGTGCCACCGTTTTAACAAGTCTGAATAAATCTACATTCCTGACTTCCCGTCATGGAGACTTAATCCAGCTCGGTCAGTCAAGGGAGGCAGGCTGCAGTAAACTGGCTGGAGGAGGAAAAGCTTTCAGCAGGTCTTGTATTTGCCCTCTTGTGTGTCCACCTTTCTGCACTCAGACACGACAAGGTGCCCAAAGAAAGAATGGACTCATTAGAGGCACCTGCAATTGAGCTAGGATGTGGCTGTCTGGATTCCTTTCGTTATCACTGGCCAGATGTTGAAACATCAGTGATGTGTTTCATCTTATCTGCTGTAGCAGCATTAATTCCTGTGTTGATTATGAAGGGAGCTGAGAGGAACTAGCTGGGGTAGGGTGGGATTGTCTCGTTGGATGCAGATACATTTAACTCAACTAATGAGTCAGAGATCCTCATGCCTGGCAACTTTCCACAGAAGGCAAAGTGTAAAACCACCTCACTTTACTTGTTCCTATATCACTCTGCAGAGACATGATGATATATCTGAGTCCTCTGGGCCTCAGGTCCCCTCTCTGTGACAGTAATAGCATTGTCACAGCAGAAACAGCTGGCATTTAAGCTCCCAGTTGGTTTTGCTTAAACTACCACTAATTTGCCCTGAGCAGTGCTGGGAGCACTCACTGTCCAAGCAGCAGCTGCAGCAGTCTGTAGCTAAAAGCAAACAGTAACTCCTTAAACTTCTTCAGGCAGATATATAGAGCTGGCCTGCCTACACCTTAAATTTAACAAGCACAGATTCATAGGGAAGGGTGAGCAAGGGAAGAGGAAGCATTTTTCCCTCTCCCCACAACTCAGCAGAGTAGAATGGATGACCTGGATAACATCTGCCAGTGCCCACCACCATCATCTGCCTGATGCCTTTAGGGTCTGAGCTCTTCTGTAACCAGCCTCTGACATATAGGAATTTACAAAACAAATGTCTGATCATGGAATCTTATGATCAGCTACCAAATATTATGTGCTACACTGACTCTAGGACAGCCACAGATTGAGGAAAATAACTGGTCAACTCCTAACCCTGTTTAGTGGAGCAGGGCTTAAAGAGTGAAGTTTACATATTGTTTAATGCCATGACCTCTGTGCCCTTGCTAATCCCTCATCCACCGCTCTGCAGCTGCTTTCTTGTCCGCAGCCTCCAGACTAATACCCAGAAAGATGCTGGGATTTCCAAAACTGCAAACCATGCAGCTGTCAAATTCACAGGGGACATTTTGCTGAGTCAGCTCACCACCCCAGCACGAGCACAGCTATAGGATGGCTTCTTCCTATGGATAATCACATCTTCACACGCATCAAGCACCTTCCCGCTGCAGTGGGATTTTGATACTAGCAGCAAGATTGCTTCTGGCTCTCAGGGCAAGCTGAAATACAGCCAGGGAAAATACTTTGGAGTTTATTATCCAGTTAAATAATATTTTAAATAAATCAATGTTGATATCCTTTGAATCACTAAATCTTCCCCCTGTGATTATTTGAAAAATACTATCATATTTTATCATTGAATGTGTTGTATTCAGGAATATTGAATTTATTATGAACTCAGGAATATTCTCTTTTAGCCAGGAAAACCCAGTCCTTCATTCCTGCAGGCTCAGATATAGGCTCATAGAGAAGTAGAGGGGACATAAATCCACAGTGTTTCACTCCTCTACAGTATCTGCACTTTGATGTGGACTTTTACTGCAAACACAAGGTATCTCACCCTTCTATTATGGAGAGTTTTGTTACTTCACCTTTTTCCTGCATACACCCCAGGCAGTGCTCAGGATGCTACCGGCATGCTGGAAGTTCACACCCTAACTATATCTTAGTCATAATCTGTAGAACTGTTCACTGAAAATCACTATGATGAAAATGGGATGCAGTACTGTATAGATAATAGGGGACCAGAATAAAACAGTGGTACTTTCCCTCCCTATAAAACTACTGTTTTAGCTGGAAAAAATGGGAAGAGAAACACCTAAAGCATCGATTTCCAAATCTGAGCCAAAATTTTAGACCTCTCAAGGTGAGTCAAGGAGAAAGATCTTTGCTGGAGAGTATTCACTGAGGAAGTAATCAAAGTAGGTAGGCACAGAGAACGTCCATCAAAGTCATTGTGCATAGGACCCGGATTTGTGTGCTCAAAATAGAAAGGCTGGCAGTACCAATCATGCAGAGTTTTAATGAGAAACACTAATTCAACAGTTCTGTACCATGTGTAAGAAAAAAACTGTGTCACTGCTTCTACAACTAAACTTGCAGGAATATCGATTGGATTATTAAGAAATACTGAAAAAAAATAAAATAAAATTGTAGTCCCAGTGGAACATAACCTATTCCCTCCAAAAAAGTGCCTTCTGCCCTTCCATTTTACAAGAGTGTTCTTCTCTTCTAGAAAACAGCAGCTTTCCTCCTTGAAATTCAGCTATTTAAACCTCAGTTTTTCTGAAATGTGGCAAAACAAAAATTACACTAATTGTAACTCTTTGAAAGAGCAGTTCAAAAGGAAATATTTTGTTTGTAAGTATCATATTAAAAATCAAGCAGTTCTCAACGTTAATTCTTTCCAGGGAAAGGAAAAAATTACTCAGCCTCATACCTTTCCTGAAAAAGAAAATAATCTTATTTAGGTAAATAATTGCCCCTTTGAATTTGTTTTGTTTCGTTTTAATAGTGGGTAAAGTGCTGAATAGGTTTGCAGGCCATGAATAAATCTGACAAAAAATAACTGAGGGCAAGTAACACAGAGAAGGAGGGACAGGCTTTGAAATTAGATTGTGTCAGATGTTATTAGGAAATATCAAGCAAAGTCCTTCCTTGAAACACAATCATGTTAATATTGAAATTAAATACTTCTATATATAAGGTCCACACTTCACAATATAGATTCTCTCAGGGCTTTGCTTATGAGGTGGCAGGAACAAGCCTATAATTAATATTATATGGTAATTTCTGTTTAAAGCAGATTGTTCCCAGAGCTGCAATCACCACTACATAAGCAAGTTGTCCTTCCATAGCTAAGAAGGAATTATGACCTAGAGCAAAGCAAAACATACAAGTCTATTTGATTGTTGTAATTTTTTTTTGCCTAATTGGATCTGGAATTTGGATATTTCTGAATAATTTTAGCAGTTACAGGTTAGATTTTGTCATGAATCTAGCTCCTTTGAATTTATTAGGTCAACATGTCTTCTGTATGATGGAACAGAATTGTCTTGAGAGAAATGATGCCTTAAAGAATATTTGCTCTGTACCTTTGGCCTGAGGCATCATCCATGGAGACCAAGACATTGGAAGCAAGGAAATAGCCTCTAAACAGAGCTGTGAAAATTGCAATAACATCTGGCACAGTGAAACCAAAATTAGTAACTGCCATTTCCCAATGGGAAACACCTATCCTCTGTTCATCAAGAAGAAAATAATTAGCATTAAAAAAAGAAAAAAAAAAGAAAAAGACATCTTAAAGAACCAAATTAAGTTGACCTAATCAAATGCTCTAATACAGGGAAATTTGTTTGGATCACTGTTTAACTCAAATGGGTGTGTAGTATTTAACGTGGATCTCAGATATTTGTTCCCGTGACATCCTATGGCAACACGTTCCATTAGTAAATTATATGCTGTGCTAAAAAAACCCACGATCATTTAATCTGTTTCCCAGTGGTTGTGCTGCCCATCAAATGCTTAGAACAGTCAGCATCTTGGCAAGGGTATTGGGTCAGTGATTTTTAAGGCCAAAAGGGTTTATTTAGTCATCTTGTTTGACCTACTAAACGATAAAGGCCAAGGGGCTTTCTGAAGTTATTCCTGCTTTAACTGCACTCAATCCTGATTTTACAGCAGAGATCACCCTAGATTTGAAAGTGGCTGGTGGCCAAAGGAGTTCTTCCAATATTTAATTACTTGTATTTGTTCCAGCCTGGGTTTGTTTAGTTTCCATTTCCAGTTTTCAGACCTTGTTATATCCTCATCTGAGTGACTAACCCCCTCCTTGTACATCACTGATTTTTGGTCAAAGTGTAGCACCACCTGTTTGCTCATGTCCATTTAAGACAATTCAGACTGAAGTTGACTCTTTGTCATGATTCAGCTCTCCTGTGCTCTTTGTGTCTTTAATGTGTCTTTATTAGCACTGACTTGAAGGTTTCTTGTAGGTGTGATGTCAAATAACAATTACAATGCTTAGAAATGATGCTTTTTATTTAATGTCCTGCTCCAGTCACTTCTGCATAATGCACCAAGAGCTTCTGCAGTGTCCCTCATTAGACATCTCTTCTCCAAAGCTAAGACATGGGGGTTTCTAGATACCGCATCTCCTTTCCCAGGCAAATTAGTTCTGAACAAATAACACCAGTCTAACCCAGATTTCTAAAATTTATAATCCCTTCAAGCAGTGTGTTATTGACCTCTGATGAACCTTGCCCTCCTGTTTGGACTTGTTGCAGCTACCTTGAAAGAGAA